TTGTAGAAGCAAGCTTGTAGTTAACTTAAGGTTGGATCCGAATAGGAATAAGTGTAAATGGAACGCACTGACCTTAATTAACTTCTGATCTGACGTTGCTTCTTTGGATTATGCCGTGTTTCCTCAGTTAGTTTCTGTGGGAATTGCCTTGCACAGAAACTCGGACTTCCACTTTAGTTGCACTGTATTACTGAATTTGACTCGAAGGACCATGTAATTTGGGTTATAAAACCCTGAGGATTTTTGATTTGATTTTTATTGTTTAATGGTTTTACAAGTTTTTCATTACATTATTCTTACAATTGGTTATGAATATAAGTTACATGTACTCGATTTCACTTGTCACTTCTGTCTTTTAAAAACTGTCTTAAATTCGCCAAGCGTCCCAATGTGGCAACGTTGAGAGGCGCGAACAGGGAGTTTGATTGTTCCAATGGAGTTTTGGTGTGGACATTGAAAATTGATTGTTTCCTTTTTTGTTGGAATTATTAAAATATAATTATCTCTTAATTGGGTAATCGATGATTCTTTTATTTCGATCGGTGACATTAGACAATGTTCTATTGGTTGATTCGAAAGTTTCCCAGATGCAGGGTTCATTCGAGTTTAGTGAAGATTGCTCGCATAGAAAAATGTCTTCGATTTCTTTACATTTGTTATTAAAGTTAAAAGACTCATTTGCCGATTTTAGCAAATAGGGGTTCTTTAGAATAGAGTAGAGTTGATAGAGAACGTAGGATTTTCCTGATATTAGGGGAATCGCTATATGAAAGATGATTAACCCATTTTTGATAATTACGTCAGCATGGGCTACCTCATAATATTTGATTATGTTATCGAACGGTATTCTTGTTTCGGGTTTTTGTTTGAAAATGATGTTCTGTAATTCCCGGTATTTAAGAATCCTATAGGATCCACTATAGTGGAATACATTGATTTCGGCAAAGTTTATCGCCGTTTTTGTGTTCTCGCAAAGTTTGTTGATTATGCGAATATTATTTTCCACGTTGTTTAGTAGCACGACTAAATGAATTTTTGTGGGTGTCGTTTGAGTCATTTATGTGACCTCGTTAATGCGGTCTTGAATTTTCTGCTGATTCTCTTTAATGTTCATCATTTGAGAGTCAATAGTTTCACTTCTTGCATATCTTCCATACTAAATTGACTCATCAAATAATTTTTTTAAATTTGTCATATATTCATCCGCCGTGGCGATGAGCAAGTCGTCGACGTATAATATGACATAAATATTTTTATAAATATTTCCTCTGTCTAAGAAATATAAACAACGGTCAACCTCTGAGTTTGTTTTAATACCTCGTGGAAACGTGCAAACCAGCATCTCGCTGACTGTTCTAAACCAGATAATGATTTATTTATCTTACAGACTTTGTTTTGTTTAGCTTTAAAACCTTCCGGTATACGCATAAACATTTCTTCTTTAAAATCCCATTAAGTTATGGTGTTTTAACATTCATTTTGTAGGGGCGTTCGTTTATACTTACTAACAAGTAAACATCAACTACTATAAAAACATATATTTACACTCCCAAACGGTAGACAATGTGTAATGGCAGTTCGTCAGGTGGTCGATCGAGAGAATACATCTGAAATCAATTTAGAAAAAGTAATTGAGTAACCAGTTCAACAAGAATTAGATTTATTATGAGAATCATTAAAACATGTCATAATCAGCTACAAGCGCCAAACGTGCCTCAAACAAGGAGCGACTCACCTAGAGTGCATCACTTGGAGTCAACAGTTATCTACCTATAACTTAATTTACAGTAGTAACTTTACTCTGTCGGAGTATTATCAATCTACCTCTGAACTCCGCAAAACTACAACCGAAGTTGCATCCTGCCACGGCTAAACTTGGGTTGTTAAGAGGTATTAAGGGTACGGCGCACGAAATACCTCCCCAAGAAA